GTGGAGTCAGAGGTGGAAGAGGGTGAGATATTTCCCAGGGAATGCCTTACTGCTAAATGATGAGCTATCACTCGGCTGTGCCCTCAACTGTTAACACATTGTTGTTAATGTAGCCTCACACCCTACAAAGTAGTACAAATGGAGGGAGGGGAGACAGCATGGCAGAGAGAGACAGACACACAGTGTGTGTGAGAGACAGAGAGAGAGAGAGAGAGAGAGAGAGACAGACAGACGTGAATCGCCCCTTTAAGTACACTGACCCCACTCTAAGTACATTGCCTTTTTAAGTAGATCCGCAAGTTGGGACAGCAGCTGCTGCCAGCAACCTCCCTCCGTCCTGAGCCCTGTCGTGCCCCCCCCTCCCTATTCTGTGGAGATGGCCCAATGGCGTAAAGGAGCAGGGGGAAGGGGGACACCCTGTCATTAGCTCCCCCTTTCCTTCCCCTCTCCCCCCCGCCCCGCACAGCAAACAGGAGGCTCCCGGGAGCAGCTCCAAGGCAGAGGGCAGGAGCAGCACATGGCAGTGCGGGAAGGGACAGCTGAACTGCCGGCAACTAGTAGCCTGCTGGGCGGCTGCTGCACAGGGAACCTGAGGGAGCTGATGGGGGGGTCTGCCGGTCCACCCTGGTTCCAAGCGCCCACCAGGTAGCTCCAACAGGCTGCTCTTTCTGCAAGCAGTGGACAAAGCAGGCGGCTGCCAAACAATGTTATAAGGGAGCATTGCGCAACTCTAAACGAGCATGTTCCCTAATAGATAGTAACAACAAAACAACGTTAACCGGGAGGACTTTAAATGAGGAGTTACTGTAAAAGTCATGGATCGGTCACGGGCAGTAAACAAAAATTCACAGCCCGTGACCTGTCCAGGACTTTTACTAAAAATACCTGTGACTAAAACTTGGGCCGGGGGGGGGGGGGGGAGGAGGCGAGGGGGGCGAGGGGCACCGCAGGTGCTGGGGAAGGTGGCCCGGATGCTGGGGGAGGTGACCCAGGACCCCCACTGGTGCTGGGGGAGGGGGTTGGCAGGGGTTCCCTACTCGGCTCCCCCCAAACTGCTGCTGCAGAAGTCACAGAAACCGTGACTTCCCTGACAGACTCACAGCCTTAGCAATGAGCCATGGGCATAGGAGACTGTGGGGTTTCTGGAGGCAGAGCTGGGGGTTGAAACTAAAAACCAGGCCATAGGCCTCTTAAGTTTGCCACCTAAAAACTGTGGCACCTGTATTAATGGCCACTTTTGGAAATCTGAGGCCTAAATGACTTGCCCAGACACCCAGGAAGCCTGTGGCAGAGCGGAGACTGGAATGCAGACCTCCTGAACTCCAGTCCTTTGCCATAAGCTTAGACTACAAATCTTAAAATTGCAAAAGGGATGGTACAGCCCTATCTGCAAGAGCAGAATTTCAGTTACCAAATCTAAACAATTACAGCCTCAAACTTTAAAAATTGCAACAAAATTCTCTTGCACTGTTATGCAATAGCGTCCAGTGCCAACCTCTGCATTCACCAAAAAGATCCATCACCCTTGTGGTAGTCAAGAGAAAGTTTTTTGGTTTTTGTTTGTTTTGTTTTGTTTTAACAGAAGCGGGAAAAGTCGCAGTGTTTTCCAAAGGGGAATTTCACACCATCTTAAACAGCAACCATCTTTTCATTGCCCTGCAGCTACCAAATTGTGTCCACACACTTCCCACGGCATACAGACTCTCCCCCAACCATGCTGAATGTGCAATTAATGGTGAACATGACAATCAAAACCACTGGGCTTGCCAAGAACAAAACACTGAGGACATGTCTACACTGTCAAGTTTCTGTGCCACAAGTTATACCACTTTTATTAAAACGCTGGAATTAAACCGCTGTCCACACTGTGCTCTTTATGACACTGGAGCGCATCCACATTAGCAACGTCACATGATGCAGGTTTCCCAATCCCATTGTTCCATGGGCATCCTGCTATATTGCCAGCTGCTTTTCAACTGAAGTGTGTGTGTCAGGAAGTGTGAGCGAGTGTATGGGGGGGGAGAGAGTGTGTGTGTTTTGGGGGACAGAGAGTGTGTCAGCATGCTGTCTTGTAAGTTCAGACAGCATCAGGAAGCAACCAGTCC